GCAGCGGGAGCGCGCGTCAGGCTCGCTCCCAGCTTGGCAGAGGACTCAGACTCAAACCCCACCGAGGTTGCCTCCATCAGGCGCGTAACCCGATTGCTGACCTCTCACCAACCTCTCCCCCCCCCGGAGACTGGGGGCCAGGCTGCTGTATGGGGGATCCGGGCGTGGGAAGAAAGCCCCCGAGTTTAGGCAGGGTTCTGCGCCCCCAAATTGCCAACTTGGCCCGGCCGACGTGGCGCTGGCTCCCGAGCCTCGAGCCGCCCCCTCTCCGCCGCCGGCGCGCCAGGCTAGCGCGGCTCCGGTGGCTGCGCCAAGCGCTCCACCCTGGGGCTTCCTCCTCCAGCAGGCCGGGCCACCCAGCCGCCGGGTGAGCCAGGCGAGGGCTCCGTCACTGCCTCACGCTCCAGCGCCCGGCCCCGCGTGGGCGGCTGAACGCTCGTCGGCTCGCCAAGAGCCCGCGCCGGGCGGGAGGGAGAGCGCACGGACGGCCAGACAGCCAGCCAGCCAGCCAGCCAGCAGCCGCCGCACACAGTCCAAACCAGGAGGGAATTTCTGGTTGGTTTGGCGGCGCGCCCGGGCGCAGTCTCTGCGGAGGAAGGGAGCGAGAGAACTCGCTCTGTTCTCACGACCTTCAGCCAAATGCACGCGGCAGGGCGGAGAGATGGGGCGGCCGCCAAACCCAGCGCATCCGCCGGCTCCAGGGCAGCCGGCCCCGCCGCACAGCTTGGCTCAGGAAGGCCTGCCTTTCACTTCAAAGGCGAAGGCTCGTGCAGACCTGCTTGGCTGGGGTTTTCCAGCTTTTCTTTTAACAGGTGGTACGTAACCGCCGCGGCACCTACTGCTCTCCAGATGGGTGGAGGCGATCCCCATCATCCCCTGCCAGCAGGCTCGTTGACCTTGGCGCCCGCTTCAGAAACCTTAAGGCTCGTTTTAGAGGCTTTACATGCAGAATAAATAGTATGGATTCCTTACTTGGCGTTTCCAGTTAATCTTAACATGTTGCAGAGCTTCTTTCGTGGGGAAGGCATCTCACTGAGCTATGATTTGTTAAAGGACGAGTGCCTGGGTTCACACAACAGAAAGCTAAACAAAACGAGGAGGGTGGCATCTTGCTACATTGGAACCTAGCCGTGTTGACTATAGATTAGATGGAAGATCTCAGCCGACCTGTGTTCCTTCAGTGGATGGGTGGCTATGTGCATTTGTTAAATAAATAAATAAATAAATAAGTAAATAAGTAAATAAGTAAGTAAATAAGTAAATAAGTAAGTAAGTAAGTAAGTAATAATAATAATAATAATAATAGTATTGATATTAATATTATTATTATTATTATTATTAATAATAATAATAATATAATGACAGCTTCCTTTTTCAGCGTAGTGGAGATTTGTCTGACCACAACATGAAAGCATTTGTTTTATTCATCCCTTCCCCCCCCCACAAAAAAAAATATTCCCACAACTCTTTTTTACATTCTTGCCAGTGACAGGCCTATCCTAAATAGATTTTACCTCTCTTTGCTGCCTTCTAGTGACCAACCACATGTTTGCAGCTAGGTTCCAGTATCCTTATAGCAATATGTGTGCATTGGTCTAATATTACGAGAGGGAGATTTTCCACACACACACACACCCCATATCCACCTCCACATTTAATGAAGCTGTGAAGAGTTTTCCCAGAATACTGGTGTGAGACTTGAAAGTACATTGGGAGAACATAGTCCCTGGAAAGCAGGATAAAAATACAGTTAAATAAATAAACAGCTGCTCCTGTGGATTAAATGTGCTGTAAGCAC